GAAGTTGGGCGTGTTGTTTGTGAGGTTGGTTTGGTTTTTAGAAGAACTGTTTTGGTTTGGTTTGTTTATTTATTTCTTGAAAATGGTGATTAATTTTTTTACGCACAAATTTGTGGGGTTTGGCTTTTCAGTTTCTCTCTTTTAACCCACCTTTTCACCTCCTTTCCTCCCTCTTTTCCATTTTGCCACTGGAAAGAGAGGAGGGGAAAAGAAACAAAGGGTGAAAAAGGAAGAAAAGGGGGAAAGGAAAAACTGAACACTTTTTGATTTTAATAAAAAAAATCAAAATTTTATTTAAATACAAAAGAGATCATTTTCACAATTTTCATTTCATCCTCTGACTTCTTAAACTGGAGCTGCCTGAACGTGAAAGTGGCGCTCCAAGGTCTGCCTACTGGGGAGTAGAGGAGAATCATTTCCTTGTAGGTGATATTTCTGTTAATACAACCCCACACTTATGCCAACAAGTCTCAGATCAGAATCTGACCCTCGGTCTCTGTGCAAAGGTTATCATTTATCAAGTGTTTCCCCAGCCCCCTCACCATCAGATCTGAGCACCTCACAAACATGAATGAATTTATCCTCCCAACATATCAGGGAGGTTGTAAGTATTATTATCCCTCATATTTTACAAAATGAAGCACAGAGACTTTAAGTGACTTGCCCCTGGACACAGAAGGAGTCTGTCACAGCCTGGAAGTGAACTCCAATAGCCTGAGTCTCACTCCAGTGCCTGAGCTACAAAACCAACCTTCTCCTTCTGCCACTTGAATTATTGGAGAGAGATTAAAATACACACTCCCCCTCTAATACTGCACCATCTTTCGAGCAAGGCTGCGAGAAAAACTGCTGACGCCTAAAACTTGGAATTAAAAACCAAAATTGGCCTAGGCATAATCCTGCGAGCACTTGTGCTCCGCTTGCTGGGGAGGAGGGAGAGGTGATAGTGGAAATAACAATAGAGCAGTTATAAGCAATTGAAAAGTTCACTTCTGAGCATGCTCAGTGGGCATCTGCTTAAATTTTAGCAGTCTTATAAAGCTTTGCTGCCTTTGACATTGCACATTTGCACAGTCTTGCAGGCTGGCCACAGCTGCTGCACTCAGACTGTTGCTAGGGCAATCTGTATGAGGAACATTGTCTGAGGCAACATTTGTCTTATTGAAACTCATACAGCAACCCTCCAAGTAAAAGCCACATCAGTATTAACGCAAGGGAAGGAGAAAATAATGAACACAGGAAACAATTGATCTCATAATTCTCAGGCCATTCCACAACTTTGCTGGCTTCTGCTCATTCTAAAGTCTCTCTTTTTTTTTTTTTTTTAACTGTTTTCTTTGCAAAAGTACAGTCATCACAATGAACCAGATGCGACGCTGGCCTGCTATCCACCCGGACTCGCCAAAAATTGTCTCCAACCAAATTTCCTCATCTTCCAACCATTCCCCTCCATGAAGTGTGAATGTTGACACTTAACTGGGGCCATTTAAATATTCCTTGCACCAGCAATCTTTCTTTCTTTCTTTCTTTCTTTCTTCTCTTTTTAAAGGAAAGGAAACTAAACACAAAAAAACGGTGCTAATTCAGCAATAAGGCTGCACAGTGACATTAACAAGAAGACCACAAGCTAAGGCCCCCAACAGCAATCTAGATGCTATTGCATTGCACACAAGAGGCACGGATTTTCCACTCACATCCATCAGTGTTAGTGTTTTACGCCCACTCAGCACAGGTGTCAATGACCACACAGGTTATGTCTACATTGTTGCTGGGAGTGAACCTCCCAGACAGACCTCACGCTAGTGGGACTCAAGGAGAGCATTAAAAATAGCAGTGTGGATGTTGCTGCACGGGTAGAGACTCAGGCTAGCCAGCCAAACTTGGACAGGAATGAAACAGGATCCAAGCTTGCCTGGTTAACCTGAGCCTTCGCCAGCACAGCAATGTCTACACTGCTATTTTTAGCACACTAGCTTCAGCCTCAGCAACACCAGGTCTCTCCCCTTGGGCTGTGAGCCTCGCTCCCAGCTGCAGTGTAGACATACCCACAAAGTGCAGTGCAATGGAGAACCAGTCCCACAGTGTGTAGTATTTGCTCCTCTTCTTTTTCTGGTTCAGTGTGTGTTTCAGTTTAATAGGCTGCTATTATGTCACACAGTCTATATACCAATATACGTGCCACGGAGCTGAGGTAATGCGGCCGATGGGCCCTTAACTTCAGCTTTTCCTGTGATTTTAACTGTGCAGCCTTGATATACATCGATGTAGTTTTTGGCATTTCAGTTTATAGCTGTTCCATTTGAATTCAGTCTCCATAGGAGACTGTCATGTGAAACTCTATCTAATGCCTTATTCAAGTTGAAATACCTCCAGTCTCCTCAGGGCTGTCCTTAGGCATATGTAGCTGCATAGGGCACCAGAAAATTTGGGGCACCACCAGGACAGCAGGTAAGAGCGGGTTGGCTCCTGCACACCCAGCACATGCTGCAGTCTCCTTAGGCAGGGGCCGTATTCACAGAGCCGAATGCGCCGACGCAGCGCATATTGTGTGAGGGAGATTGTACAGGGCGGGGAACTGTGACTCTCTGCCAACGTGAGGCGGGCCGGGCCGTTCGGTATCCTTTGCTGCCTGGTTCCTCCCCCACCCCGGCTGCGAGCCCGGGCTGCTGCAGCATCTGCTGCGTATGAATCATAGAATCAGAATATCAGGGTTGGAAGGAACCTCAGGAGTAGTCCAAGCCCCTGCTCAAAGCAGGACCAATCCCCAATTAAATCATCCAACAGAGTTTTGCCCCATATCCCTAAATGGGCCCCTCAAGGATTGAACTCACAACCCTGGGTTTAGCAGGCCAATGCTCAAACCACTGAGTTATCCCTCCCCGGTGTGTGTCAGCAATGAGGACGGGGTGCGGTTCTGGGGGTCCGTGGGCCGGGGTGATGGCTGTGCCCCAAGTCAGGCATAGGGGCATCAGTTTAATAATAGTGCGTAGGGCCCCATAAATCCTAAGGACGGCCCTGTCCCTGCATTCCCTTTGGGCATTATCCTGTCAAAGAAAGAGATTAAGATACTTTGGCATTACTTTTTTCTGATTAACTCATCTTGGCTATTCGTTGCCTTACTATTTATCATGTATTTGCATGGAGGCGCTCAGGTTTTGAGCCTGATCGCAATTTGTGGCGTCATTTACACCAGGGCAAAGTGGTGTAAAAAACTGCCATTCTGATGTGGTATCACTTGCCCTGGTGTAAATGACGCCACAAAGTGCAGTGTAGCAGGGAAACAGGCCTATCGACATCTCTATTAATTCTTCTAGCCAGCTGCAGGCAATGCAGTTAAGCTTTCTCGTGTGTAAGTCCTGGAGCCCCTTTTGACCCCTATATGCTATGTTTACTCTCGACCAGTATTGTGGGACCTCCCCTGCACTCCAGGCTCTCCCCAAAAGAATCGCCAGCTCTCTGCTAGCCTCATGCTCTTTAGGATGAATTTCACTGGCCCATATTGATTTGAATTAGCACAAGTTACCCAGATATCCTTCAGCCTGTTCCATCCTGAGTCTGTCTTGTGGTCTCTCCCTTTCCTCATTAACTATGATTATGTTAAGTATCCTGTCACTCACCCTTTGAGTGACAGCTGAAGCCAAATAGCTACTCAGCACTGCAGCCTCTTTAGTGTGTGATTGGCTCTCTCTCTCCCTGGTATGTAGGTGACCTACCTGTGCACTTTCCTTTGTCAGCCTCCTGCTTTTTATGTACTTATAAACCATTTAACTTGTTCCTTTTGCTCACACCCCCTCATTTTGTGCCTTTGCCTTCCTGACTTTACTTCTGAACCTCTCTACTCTTTGCAATTTCCTTTCCCCATTATTTTATATCTACTGTTCCTTTTTTCAGTGTCAGGGCTCTAAAGAGCCTCTGGTGAGGTCACTTTGCTCTTTCTCAGGTGCAGAAGGAGAGAGCTGTCCCAGCGGTGTCAAAAGAACTGTCGTCCCAAGTCTGTATAGTTAACTACCTGATAAACTTGGGGAGGGAGAAGGATGTCCCAGAGTCACTGACTAGGA